TATTTAAAAATATATATTGTAAACAGTATATTTGAAATCACCATATTAAATATATTGCCAGGCGGTAACCCGTGCTCTGAATTCTTATTTATATGTAAATATGTATGTATATGTATATGTAATATGTACTTACCCAAAAATGTACATGCACACAATAGGAAAGCGTCAGAATGTATATCCCTAAAAATGCAAAAGAAATGGAGAATATATATAGTATAATATTTATAGGAGAAAGACAAATAAATAAGAGGGAGTGTAGAGAAAGAGGGAGTAGAGAGAGAGAGAGAGGCAGAGAGAGAGAGAGAGGGGAGAGAGACAGAGAGTGGAAGATAACAAGCGGAAGAGAAAGAGCGAGGGAAAGAGCGGGTGAGAGTTAGAACAGAAATACAACTTAACACCAAATGTTAATGTAACACTTTACTTACTAGCAAAGCATGAAGAACTGCGAGGAACCTGAATTTATGAGAATCGCGTAGTAGAGCACTGCTAAAAATACGTTTTTTTAGATTTACAGCGAAGCAGACAGAATGTATGCGGGAACATACGCACACCCAAATGCATACATACGGGCATACATACATACATATATATATATATATACATACATACATACACATATACATACATACTTACTTACATACATACATACATACATACATACATACATACATACATACATACATACATACATGCATACATACATACATACATACATACATTCATACATTGATACATACATACATACATACATACATGTATACATATATTAGTATTGACACACGCAAGCACAAAAATAATGATAATTAGTTTGACAAGACCAATGTTTACTTCACACACCACTTACAATCAAAGCATGGAAAATTGCAAGGCCTACATGAATCCATGAGAATCGCGTAGAAGGGCAATGTTTAAATTACGTTTTATGCTAATTTGCAGCGCAGAAGGAATTCAACTTTGTTTGCGTTTTGGCATAAGATATTTTCACACATATATATATATACGCATACATATATACATACATATGTCTTTCTCTCTCTCCAACATCCTCGTCTTTTGCAGACCACATTCACATGGTGACTTTGGATAAAACGGGCAAGAAATCATTTGGCATTTGTATTGTACGCGGCGAGGTGAAGGATTCGCCGAACACGAAAACGACTGGCATATTTATAAAGGGTATTGTTCCCGATAGTCCTGCTCATCTCTGTGGTAAACTAAAGGTCTGTAGCTGAGAGTTTAAAATAAATTGGATAACAGCGCGGCATTCGCAGGTTGGTGATCGCATCCTTTCGCTGAACGGCAAAGATGTGCGGCACGCAACCGAACAGGCGGTCATCGATCTGATCAAGGATGCAGACTTTAAGATCGAGCTGGAAATCCAGACATTTGACAAGAGCGATGAGCAAAGCAAAAATGATCCACGCAATGGCTACATGCAGACCAAAAATAAATTCAATCAAGGTAGAATCTGAGCATCTAATATATATCCGGCTTGACTCACACGTTTCTCACAGATCAAAGTTCCAGCAATACTATGGGCACTGTCAGGCAACCGACCATACGGAACGATCCGAGACGCAATCCAGCCTTTTCGGCCTCCACACGGGTCAAGCACGTGCCGACCAACAACGACGACGATGATGAGGATACGCGCGACATGACCGGACGCATTCGCACCGAAGCGGGCTATGAGGTTTGTGGAGCTAAATATGGCATATATATAAACATCTTTTATAACAATCGATTTTCTCTTCCCAGATTGATCGCGCATCGGCGGGCAACTGCAAGCTAAACAAGCAGGAAAAGGATCGCGACAAGGAGCAGGAGGATGAGTTTGGCTACACCATGGCCAAGATCAACAAGCGCTATAACATGATGAAGGATCTGCGCCGCATCGAGATCCAGCGGCAGGGCAATGTGCCGCTGGGCATCGCGCTGGCCGGCCACAAGGATAGACAGAAAATGGCCTGCTTTGTGGCTGGCGTCGATCCGAATGGACTGCTGGCCAGCGTGGACGTGAAGCCGGGCGACGAGATCGTCGAGGTCAATGGCAATGTGCTAAAGAATCGCTGCCACTTGAACGCCTCCGCCGTGTTCAAGAACGTCGAAGGGGAGAAGCTCGTGATGATTACATCACGCCGCAAGCCCAACGACGAGGGCATGTGCGTCAAGCCCATCAAGAAGTTCCCAGCATCCACCGATGAGGCTAGCTAAAACCAAGTCATCCTTTGCATTCTTTCGCTCAATAAATTCTATTTCATTTGCAGACGAAGTTCATCTTCGACCAGTTCCCCAAGGCGCGCACGGTGCAAGTGCGCAAGGAGGGCTTCCTGGGCATCATGGTCATCTACGGCAAGCATGTCGAGGTGGGCAATGGCATCTTCGTCTCCGATTTGCGTGAGGGCTCCAATGCAGAGGCGGTAAGTGACCCTGCAACCCGTCCTCTGTCCACATAATTCACTTGCAAATCCTTCCAGGCGGGCGTCAAAGTTGGAGACATGGTGCTGGCCATTAACCAGGATGTGACACTGGAGTCGAACTACGATGAAGTAAGTCTGACTAATGGTAATCAAGTACTAAGACTTATATACATTCCCATAGGCGACCGGACTGCTGAAACGCGCCGAGGGCGTGGTAACCATGATACTGCTCACGCTCAAGAGCGAGGAGGCCATACGTTCCGAGCGCGAGGCAGAGGAAAAGAAGAAAGAAGGTAAATATTCCGACCGCAATATTTTATAACTATTTACTTGGTGAATCCCCAGAGGCCAAAAAGGAGGAGGAAAAGCCACAGGAACCCTCTATAGCCGAAATAAAGCCAAACAAAAAGATACTCATCGAGGTGAAGGTGGAAAAAAAACCGTTGGGCGTTATAGTGACTGGCGGCAAGAACAACAACGTGAAGGTACGTATGCACACTCCACTCCACATTCTATTACTACACACTAACTCCCTCCACAGACTGGTTGTGTCATAACACACATTTATCCGGAGGGCGCCTTGGCCGCGGACAACCGCCTGAAGATCTTTGATCACATTTGCGACATCAACGGCAAGGCGGTGCACTGCGAGAGCATGACCACGTTAAAGGTGCATCAACTGTTCCACATGACCTATGAGAAGAACGTCAACTTTACGGTTTTCCGCGCCGATCCGCCTGAACTGGAGAAGTTCAATGTGGAATTTATGAAAAAGAGCGGCAAGGAATTGGGTCTTTCGCTGGTACCCAATGAACGCGGCTGCACCATCTCCGAAATTGTAAGTAGCTTCATCAGAAGAGTGGATGTTTCAATTGCTTACAGCCTCACTTTGCAGCTACAAGGACAATATCCGGAAATCGATGGCAAGCTGCAGCGCGGCGACATCATAACCAAATTTAACGGCGATGCGCTGGAGGGGCTCACCTTCGAGGTGTGCTATGCATTGTTCAAGGGCGCCAACGGCAAGATATCGATGGAGGTGACACGGCCAAAGCCCACGCTGCGAACGGAGGCGCCTAAGGCATAAAGGCTGAACGAAACTCATCCGTGTTTAGAGGCCATGAAATAAAACTATTTTAGAGTCAGTTCTAATTTAATAACATCTGGTGTTCCGTTATTGGGTTTATTTCTTGTTGAATTGGGGAACTGTTGCTTATGCTATAGAGCTTGCATTCGATGCGATACGGGGCCACAGATCAGCGCATTCCTTGGCAACGGGCCCGGTTATGGCCGAGCCCTTCATTTCGCCTTTGTTGTTCACAATGACCCCCGCATTATCTTCAAAGTATATAAAAACACCGTCCCTCCTTCTGAACGGCTTACGCTGCCGAATGACCACGGCGGGCATAACCTAAAAATAAACACGCGTTAACAAATAATTCACAAAACACTTAAAATCAACAGTCAAGCTAAAATGTTCGCATACTTTGCACGCTTTTTGCACAAAACACAGAGCAGAGTTGCCAATTAGCTAAATCTGGCTATTTTCACAAATGGTTAGCCGAAAATGGCTTATATTTTAAATTGATTTAGCTGTTTTCCGGCTTCTCTTGCACCGTCTTTATTGCTAATTCAGCTAATTTGCTATTGGATTTAGCTTTTTGCAGCGGCAGTTGGCAACACTGCGCAGGAGCGTGCAAGGGTCCATTTCCACATGGATTTGTTCATTTTACACTCAAGCAATACGAAGCATGTTTCGCACTTTTCACTTAACATTTGCGCAGCAGACACTCACCTTCTTTCTCAACTCGGGCTTGCCCTTCTTGACGGTGGCCACAAACATGTCACCGACGCCAGCAGCAGGCAGACGGTTCAGGCGACCGCGAATACCATGCACAGCAATTACATACAGGTTCTTGGCACCTGGAAAACAAACAAATTTATATATAGCATTTCACAAATTAAAACTCATTTATGTTTGTGTATTACCTGTGTTGTCAGCGCAGTTCATAACAGCGCCTACGGGCAAACCTAGCGAGATGCGGAATTTGCCTCCCGCGGTACCACCACGTCCTAATTGACGAAAAACACAAATAATTAGTTAAACACATATATCTGTTTGAGCACTTCATTGTTGCATAGCAATTTTGCATTGATTGACTGTATTTTTCACTATTTATTCGGATTTAATTTGTTGTAAAATACCTCTCTTCGACATTTTGCTGCTTGTTCGGAACCAAAAGGAAGTAAAAAGAAAGAGCTAGTTCGGTTACCGAACCACAGCCAACTTCAAGTAAATCGTTATCGGTATCATCAACGTTGCCACCTCAATTAAGTGAATGGAGCTAGTTTTAGTTCAGCGCTGCCACCTAGTCCAAAATGAACCAGTTGAATATTCGATAAATTTTATTATTTATGAATATTGTTTTCTTATTAGTTTTATTATAATATTATAATGCAAGACAAAATGAACATATATGGTTTTTATTAGATTAACATGAGAAGCCACTTGATAAAGAATTGTATCTGTCTGCGAAGTTCTTCGCAAAAACAAGCCCAATTACTTACATCCCCTCATAGGATATTTTTATATACTATACGAAATTGAAATTTGTATTGTCAAAATATTTATCACGTGCCATTTTGTTGACATATCGTCTATGCTGTGATCAGCGTACTGAGCTGGTGCCAGCGCAGCCAAGTTCAAGCACGCGCTAATATTCTAATGTGTTTTTCGCACTTTTATGAAAAGTAGATCTAAAAAATGGACGAACAGGGGCTTTTAAGTTACGTTAAGAAAGTTATACACTCGTTAATTGTGTCGACGCCGGAGCGTGTAACAGTGGAAAGGCTGAAGCGGGACTATGCCAAGGAAGAGGGAACTGCCGTGCCATTCAAAAGGCTCGGCTTCAAAGACATTGAAAGCTTTTTACACTCCATACCAGACACTGTTGTGGTAGGTTTTGAATTAACAGTCGATAAATGCATTTGTTTAGTTAAGTTCCTTTTATTAGTTAGCAGGATCCGGACCGATGGCGCATGTATTGGCCAGGCGGCACGCCAAGACCGCGCACATCCAAAACCTGGTGCAGTGCCAAAGGAGGCCAAGCCACAGGTCAAGGAGCCGAAAAACTGCCAAGCCAAATTACGGCTATCCCTCGCAAAGATCCGATCTCGTGTTTGTGAATGAGCCGCAACATTCGAACAACAAACGAATTAACAACAACCAGAGCAGCAACAACTATGGTAATCATAGTAGTAATCGTCAATCTCGGTCTTTGGCACGTTCCAATTCCTCTTATAACCACGTCGATTCCCAAGCTCAAAGTCGAGCACCTGCTGTGGCCCAAAAGAATTTGGCAAGGGAGACAAACCGAATGATTAGTTCTTTTCAAAATGTAACTATTGCCCACGTTGATGAGGACTCTTCGAGTGAAGAGAACCATTTGGGAATATATGTTGAGCAGGGCGAAATAGAAGTCAACTCCAATAAAGCTCCCGTGTTGGATAAACAAGCTGTGGCCGAAAAGCCAAAGGAACGCCACAAGGAATATCTATCATCTAATGAGGGCTGCGATGAGGATGCCATTCCAGCGTATGCTGTGGCACGTAAAGATTCAGCAATCATTAAATGTTTGTCAATTAAATGATTTATATCAATTTTAGGATGAACGAGTATTGAACTACAAATACACGACCAATGCATCTTGTGTCAATCTGGTGAAGGCCAGGCCTAGTGTGACAGCCAATACTCGGCCAAGTTGGGAAGAGCCATATATTGAATACATCTCCTCGGATGATGGTAGTGAATCGGATGCCATTCCTATTTTTGCTGTGGTAATAATTTGTTGTACCTTGAAAAGCATTTTTAAATCAACATTCATTGCAGGACGAGCGTGTCATGAGTGTGGAGTATCCCAAGGAAGCAGTTCGCTTTGATCACCGCTTGCCCAAACGAGATGTTCACAAGAAATTTAAACTGGACGTTCGCATCGAAGTGCAGCTTGTGACGGTAGCTAATGCTATAAATTATTCTAACTCAATGTTGAGTTTCCAATTTCTATGCTTAGGTGGCAAGCCCGCATAACTTTAATTTTTGGCTGCACGACGAGGAATACGAAGCTTACAAAAACATGTCGGAGAACATGCAGTAAGTTTTCCTTTAATACATAATTGAGCATAGTTCGATCTACATTATATCACTTACTTGCAGGCGATTCTACTCCAATGTACATGAGATAAAGTACACCATACCATTATATCTAATAATGATAGGCCATTTAGGTGCTCTGCACTTTAGGGGCACACTTTGGCAACGCGTCGAAGTTTTGAATATTAAGGCGGGTAATAGAAAGAATATTGAGGCGAGTACTTGAATTCGTTCTTATAAATGGGCTTTAATAGTTGTTTAACTCGTTTTAAAGGTGCAACTGGTTGATACGGGCGAAAGATTGTGGATCTGCCACAGTGATCTTAAGTATTTGTGCAAAGAGTTTGCCCACCTGCCGCCGCAATATTGGCCCGGCAGACTGGCTTGCGTGACACCCAGGCAGGGCCCAAGCTTTTCGGTGGAGGCCAGCACCTACTTCTTCGATATTGTGTCCTTTCGCAGACTCTATGCGAAAATTGAGAAAATCAACGATGCTGTAGGCTAAACATTTAATACTAGACTGCACTGTCTTACTCATATATATCTTGTATTTTACAGGATAATACAATCACATTGATACTGGTTGATCCGGATGCCGCAGCGCACACAAAGAACATTAACGTAGCACTCATCGAGTCGGGTTGGGTGCGCCGCTGCTACAAGCCTTAGCGATTGTATCTTTTTATAAATTGTCATTTGAATAGGTCAGGAAGTCTTCACAATTATTGGTTTTTTAATGAGTTAAGTCACAAATGAGTTGACCGCGAAACTGTTATAAATTATGATTTTGTTTTAGTATATATATATAGAATATATTCGTAAATGAAACAATTCGCGTAGTGTTATGTTAAGGCAAACGCTGTCCTTCTGCTTTTCATTTATTTAGTTTACGTATAATAAAATACTAAGTTATCATAAATCTTCGAAACAATTTCTGTTGTCTTACGCTTGATTTATGTTGGAAAATAAGATCAAACAAAGACTACGCAAAAGATCTCGCTCGCAACTAAATAGTATTTGTTCAAACAGAATTGCTGAATTCAAATAAAAGTTGTTGCAATAAATACATTATTTTTGTTTGTTTTAACTGAATCGTTATAACAATTCCCTATAAAAGACAACATTATCTATTAAATGTAGTTCTTCGTTTTGTATATATGTTTGTTTGCTTGTTTGTTTATTTTTATGTATGTATGTTGTGTATATAGTCAATGTTTTATGTATGTTGTTTTTGCTGCTGCTGCTGCTGTTGGTAACCGTTGAAACGACGGCAACCTGAGGTTTTCTTTTTTATATAATTTTCATTTTATATATTTTTTGAGGCTGCTCTACTACGTTGTGTCAGAGTGTGTGTCGGTATTCATTTCTCTTCTTTTTTCTTTTTTTTTTTTTTTTGTTGTGAGTGAAAAACTAATAGTTCAACTACTAACGCATTTCGTTAAATTTGCTTCTTGTTTGTTTTTGTTTTTTTTTTTTGATAATATTGTATTTTGTTTTTGTTCTTCGTCGTGTTAACTCGTATTGCTGAGTGTTGTTTTCATTTTGCAATGCGTATTTAAATATGCTATATAATCGCAATAATACATAATTCTTGGTTTGCTCTTGAGTACATAATATAGCTACGCGCATTTATATTCCATTTGTTGTTTTTATTTTTTGGTTGTATGCATAACGTAACGGTTTTCATTATATCATAAGTTCATGCACGTGTGGGTGTGTATGTTTAACTACAAGTGTGTGTGTGTGTGTGTCTGCCTGTCTGTCTGTGTGTGTGTGTGTGTGTGTGTGTGAGAGAGAGTTTTGTTAGTAGTAGTAGGTCCATAGGACTAACACCTATTCACTTCGTTATCGTTACAATATCGTGGGCATAAAACTTATCATGTAGATTTACTACTTATATATATGTATGTGTGTGTGTGTGTGTGTCTGTAACTCTGCGTGTGTGTGTGTATGTAACTTTCTCTGTGGCCGTGTCGTGTCTGTGTGAATGCTTTAAACTGGCTGCTGAATTTTATCGTATAAGTTATTCATGTACTCATTTTTTTTTAGTTTTTCATTTTTTTTTTTCGATTCTTATATTAAAGTTCATCACAGTTAGCGGAGCTGAAATTATGAATAATTATTGAGGACATTGTTGTGTAATACGTTTACTATCTCTTTAGTTGTTGTTGTTGTTTTTGTTGTTGTTGTTGTTGCTGTTGTCATGTTCTACTAAATCGCAATTGCATATATATGTAGACTACCGTAAATTGATTCATCATTTTGCTGTACTTTTTTTAGGGGTTTTCTTTCTTACTAATTATTATATACGCATGTGTGTGTGTGGATGTGTGTGTGCGTGTGTCCTATGTGTGTGTATTGTGTATTGCTATTTGCTTTTGTTTTGTTCGGGGACTGCGAACCGCTACTCAGATGGTGGCTCGATGCACGCCGGTTGGGCTGGTTGTGATGCCTCAGTGTCATGGAGTATTCCCCTCGAACAGAGCCCGGAACTCGCCGCTTCGGGGCCGTGGCAGGCCCTCGCGTATCGTTTGCACCGGCTCAGCAATGCTCGACTCAGACCCATGCAGTAAATTCTCCTTGAGATCCATGTCACTAGAAACGAAATGTTAAAAGAGAACCCATAATTAACTCCTTTACGTCTGGTACTCACTCATCCTTGCAGTCGTCGGCCTCGGCGGCCAATGCATTGACCACCGCCGTAATTGTATTCGATTCTGGATTGCTTAGTTGCTCGTCCTTTTGTTGCATTATATTCGGATTCTTGCCAATCTTGTTTAGCCGCTCGGCAGCCACGGTTTCCATGGTCTTGCGCATCAGCGGATACTGGTCCAGAACGCAATTGAAATGATCCACGCTCAACGAGAATAGATTGCAATAGGTTTCGGCTCGCACGCTGGCCACACGACGCGCATTGGTCAGCAAACAGATCTCACCGAAGTAGGAGCCGTCCGATAGCGAGGTGGCAACCTGTTCAATACACAAAGATGCCCTTGATTATTATGTGCTTAGGCAACACTGGTGGGCAGGGCTGCAAGCCGACTATGAACCGGTTTGACAGTTTCACTGTGAACCGAATCGTAAACAAACCTCATAGCCGAACCGAACCAGATATTGTTAAAAGTGGTTCGGTTCAAAGCTAACAACATATGAGGAAGTCTATGCCGGAGCTAGTTTTGAAACCAGCTTCCCGAACTGTACCCAAAAGAACAGAGGTAGTTGGTTCGCACCGTAAACCGAACCAGTGCCAAATTCGTGGTTCATTTTTGCAGCCCTGCTCGTGCGGAATATTCAATACAGACCTCGCCGTTGGCCATGACAATGTCCACAACGCCCTCCTGTATGAAGTACATCTTTGTACCGATCGTGCCCTCCTTTATGATAATATCACCTGAGTGCGAGTACAATTTGGTTAGAGCTAATCTTGATGGCTTTTGAAATTGAGTTTACCTGGTTGGAAAACTTCGTATTTCAGTTTGGTAACTACGTCGGAAACAAAATTCGAATCGGCATTAGCAAAAAAAGGCACTGACGCCACGAGGGACCTGCGAAAAGTTTTTCCAATAATTATACAGTTATGTTTGGGGGAATAACATGGAAAACATTTGTGGGGGATGTTAACCTGCAATTGTAGTTGATGACATCCTCGCGCAGTTTCTCGCTCAACTCGCCAAGTATTAACTCTTCATCGAAGAATTTACCCTGATACCGATGCTCGAAATATTCCGTAATGCGTTGCCGCATATCGCGCGGCAATTTGCGATAGGCCATATACTCCTCCACCTGTTTGACCTTCTCGCGATACTGCCGCCGGCTGGAGTCCAAGCTCTGTATTAGATTGGTCGCATGACCAAGGAACAATGCATAACATGTGGCGCCCGATATCATCGAGAGCATCGTCAGCCACATGTCCGTCAGTGATTGTGGCGGAAATCTGAAAGTCGAATGAATGGAATTATTCAATTGATCGAGAAGATTCGAAATCGTTCAGTTTACCTGCCGTATCCTATGCACAGCATATGTGACATGGCCTTAAATAATGCCCATGAGTATTGCTCCAGCCAATATGATTCCTAAAAAATGTCCATAGATTAGATTAAGTGCATTTTTAAACAGATAATATCGCAGCATATCATAATATTCGGCGCATACCTGTAGCTCGTTGATGGATACCCAGGAATTAGATGGAAAACCCTGTAACATTGGCACCAAGAACTGCAGACAGCCGCTCCAGTGTCCGATTAAGAGCATCATGCAAATTAAATTGAAGATCCTCATGAAAACCGAGGCCATATTGAGGAACTGCAACCAGAGTTATCAATAAGAGTGCACATCAAACGAAAGGCCAGCACCGCACTGTCTATACATGTGTGTGTGTGTGTTGTATATGTGTGGCATGTGTATGTGAGTGTGTGTGTTTGTGTGTGTGTGTGTGTGTTACATTTAAAAATACGACAAACCAAAGTATCTTAAGTAAAAACCAAAAATTCTTTTCAATTTGAAACTCTATTGTGGCTTCATCCAAAGAGCAAAACAAAAACTACGCCAAGCCACAGCCAGAAAAGCAACCGAAATAAAAGAATTAAAAACAAATAATAATAATACAAGAAGATTTGTGTACTGTGCAGCGGAGCTGGCAGTTTATGCCCACAGTCTCAGTCACAGTGGCGCCGCGAAGTATGCAACACTGTGAGCTCAGTTCGGAATAAACTGCCGCACACACACACACACGCACACACACGCAAACACACACGCATATATTAGCTGGCTCTATATATATGTATGTATAGATGCAGACAGTAGAAGATCGCTATCAATCAGTATACAATTGGATAGTATAAGAAATAAATATAAGACAATAAAAATGATACATATGTGAGAGTCTAATGTTAGGCAATATACAACAGTGTGTGGCACAACCTGAGAGAGCCATGAATCAAAACCATTTCTACGTAGTTGTTTTTTTGTTTTTTTTAAGTTTCTTAAATATTTTTTAGTGCAAATCAGCTGCTATTATGTTACAAGTGCTCATCTTAACTTTAGCTCAGTTTCAAAAATAATTAAATACTTAGCTAAACGAGTGTGAGTGTGTGTGTGTGTATGTGTATGGGTAGTACGTTTAAATATACAGATATTGAATTATGCTCACTAAAAGATTCAAATTGTTGAAACTGTTATTCGACAACCAAAAGCGTTTTATTTCTATTATTATTTCTTTTTTATATTTTGTTCTCAGTTGTTAGACGATTTCTACGTTTTCTGTACAGAGTTTAAAACAAAAATCAAAGAAAATATCAAAAATAGAAGTGAAAAACCATAATGCCATGGACAGAATATAAGAGTACAAAGTTGTTTCGTTGTTTTTCATGTTGTTGCTGTGAGTAGCTGTGTGTGTGTGTGTGTATGTGTAAAATACTTTTACGGCTTGTGCCAGCTGATCGACTGAACTCTTGGCCATAATTTACACAGACTTACGAAACGAGGAATCGCCACGCGAGTCATTGCTGAAATCTTTGTACAACAGATAAACAGACGTAGAAGAAGAAGAAGAAACAAAGATAACGCAACGTAAGCCCATAACCAAACCAATTAACAAAAAACCAAAAGAGAAAACCAAAAACAATAAACAAAAACCAAAACATTTAACAAAACATACTCTTAAGTTGGCAACAGTAGCAGAGTTTTATTAGTTAACGCTGTTGTTGTAGCAAATAGTAGAGTAGAGTAGAGTAGAGTAGAGTAGAGTAGAGTAGAGAGTACAGTTAAGTTAAG